GAAGGTGGCTTCCCCAGGGTGGAGAGGGTGGGTGGGTAGGGGGTCTGGGATGGAGAACTGAGGGGTGGGGTCCTGGTCTCTCAAAGATCACCCGAAGCCGGCACTTGGCTGAGCCCGTGGGGTGCAGAGGGGACCGGACACCCTCCCTGTGCCCTTTCTTGGGGGCTCCCCACAGATGCGGAGGGCCGAGCCCCCCTCCCAAGGCCCTGTTCAGGGCGGGGGGCCGGTGATAAGAAGCGGAGGCAGCCGCTAGTGGGGGCCCGGGGGGCTGCGGGCGCGGGCGGCAGCGGCGACGGGGCTGGTGGCGGTGGCTGCTGGCCCGAGCATCTTCTCAGCCTAGGCTCCCACAGCGTCCTGGCCCCTCCCACTCGCGCAAGGTCACGCCCATGCCAGGCAGGGCCACGCCCTTCGGCGCCCCCATTGGTCCACCCTTGAAGCCAGGGCCACGGTCCTCCGGGTTGGCCACGCCCATCACTCTTGGAAGCGAGAGACCTGACTCCCCCCCTGCAGGGTATAATAAGGACCATGAGGCTCCTCCACGCCTTCCTTCCTTACCCTTCACCCTTTTATTTGCCGAGGGGCAGGGCGGGACATAGCCAAATGTATCCCAAAGCTGGCTTTGAACTCACTATGTAGCTCAGGCTAGCCTTGAACTCCGGATTCTCCTGCCTCCGTCCCCCAAGTGCCGCGATTAGGGGGATGTGCACGCCACTCCTACCTACCTTTCACTTCTAAAGAGCATTTCTTGTGCACTTGCTCTGTGCCAGGGGTGGTTCTAAGTAAGAGATTCTCATTTAATCCCACAGGGAAGCAAAGATGGAATGTACTTTCATTATTCTGTTTTACAGATGAGGACACTGAGCCTCAGAGACCCGAAACAGCCAAGCGTGGGCGCTCACTAATGTAATCCCAGCACTTGACGGGAGGAGGCAGGAGAATTGCTTTGAGTCTGAGACCAGACTGGAGTTACTGTGTAAGACCCTTTGTTAACAAGCAAACAACAACCAAAGCAACAAGAAACGGAACAAACAACAAACACCCCCAAAACGAAAAGAAGTAAAGGAAACAAGGGCAAGCAGTCTGCTATCTCTTGGTCAAAGCAGAAATGCCCCTTCAAGTGTTATTTGACTCTCAGCAAAGAAATCCCCCGATGGATCGTCCATCTCTCCGTGAAGAGTGGACGTAAGGCTACTGTCGGGCTCACAGGACTGAAATCTAGTTAAAGCAAGTAGCTGTCACAGAAGCCGACTGGCACTCGGTTCTATCAACAGTACTGATGGCCCACCTACTGAGTGACAGATACTGCCCTAGACCCTGGGACACAGCACGGAACAAAACGGCCTTAGTGCTTTGTAGAGTAAGTATTATCATTCTGGTCACTTGTTAGAAAATTTTGATTTCCAGATGACGGAGTGGAGGCTGCAGAAAGGCTTTTCCAAGGGCACATGGCTAGACAGAGAGAAAACTGGGATTTGGACGGAGGACAAGCCTAATTCCAAAGCCCGAAGCCATAAGAGATAGGAGGCTCTTCCTTGGAGTGGGTTGTTGCCAATATTCTGTGTTCTCAGATATATGCGTTTCTGCTCCCTAGATGCCTGGTCTCCAGGGCTTCCTTCTTTTCTAGCTTGGTCAGAGGCAAGTCTAACCCCAGAAGGGTCCGGGAAGGGGTAACTGTGGCAGCTGGGGAGGGGGTCTGTGGCTCCACCCCACCTGCCCCTCCCTTGCTTCTCTCTCAGGTCCCCAGGACAGTGGAGGCAGCAGCAGATGGCCTAGGGTGGACGAGGTGGACGCCCGTCTGTCCCCTCCCCCCATTGTCCCTTCAGCCAAGGGGGATGGGAAGGGGTTGTGGTCCACTGCAGTCTGGATCCTCCCCCTCTATCTTCCTGGAGGGAGCTGAGGAGCTGGTTGCCATGGAGACAGAGAAGAGGCAAGAGGGGATGCAGGGAAATACTGAGGTTGGGCTGAAATCCACACCTTAGGACCTTAGCATCTCACAGACCCACAGTACACAGGTGACATCTCCCAGCATCCACGGAGTTGCATGTGAAGTTCTCCCCTAACATACATACACAGTCACAGGGGGCACACATTTCACACTGATTTAGAAAGACTGACAGGAGAGGACCACCGAGACACTTGTGTACACACACACACACACACACACACACACACATCCCTAAAATGCACACTCAGTCATTCAGACCAAAACCATAGCACAGGCTCCTACACACAAATAGATAGATGTGTATTTAATATCAAAGCAGTGACATCTAATATCCAAATATGTCCCATGTAGGCGTATTCAGACTCACAGTTCCAAATTTGTACCCCCCCTGAAGTTACACATATGTGATCAAAGCCACAAGAGACATACAGCCGTGCTTACATAAGACATGCATGTTGGTGACATGGGGAGTCTAAACTGAGTGGCCTTCGTTATAGCTCAACACAAACTGGGTACTGTGCACATTTAGATACAGGACAAGTGAAGTCTGGCACCCACGATGACTGGACTTTAACGGCCACTCAGTGACGAGTGCACGTCACACTTGGATTGCTGTGTGTTGTGAAGCCCCCACCCTTCCCCCAAGTCAGACCCACAGTCCCAGTTCCACCCAGCCCTCCCAAACACTCCCGTTTGGACCCACGCAAAACAGCATGGTCGGCCGGGCACTCGCACTCACACAAACACAAACCTCCTCCTAGATATTTTTAAACCAAGGCTAGTTCTGCTGTCATGGCAACCGCCCCAAACCCATCACCATAGCAACCCAACGTCAGCTTTCCAAGCACCAAATCCTGGGGGATTGCAAGGCCCCAATCAGAGGTGGTGGAGGGGGCTGCACCCTCTCCCTTTATCCGTGACACTCCAGTGCTTTTGGGGGGATGGTTACTCAGCCTGGACAGGGTCCAGGACCAGGGCCACCAGACACCCAACCCATGCTAGAGGAGGTCAGCTTCACCCTCTCCTCCTCTCTTTACAATGCCATATGCAGGAGTCATTGGCACACAGGTAGGCTTCAACCTGGACACACAGGACCCTGGGTTTGAATCCTAGCTCTGTCATTTACCTGCTGGGTGACTTGGGTATATCCTTAACCCTCTGGGTCTTATATTATTCATTCAGAAAATATCCCATTCACTCTGAAACCCTGTAAAGGATCAAACCATGATTCAGTGGTAAGAAGTTCACGTCTGGGCGGGTGAGAGAGCTCAGAAGGTAAAGATATTTGCTAACCAGCTGTGACCCACATTGTGAAAGGAGAGAAATAACTCCTGCATGTTGTCCTCTGACCTCCAACACACACACACACACACACACACACACACACACACACACACACACACCATATTTTTTTTAAAGGTGGTCCAGGTAGATAGAATCTAACCTTCCAAGTTTCTGACTTACTGTGAGTGCATGCAATGGATTTTCTTTCCCTGAAACAACCTGGGGGTAAAGAGTCTAATCGCACAGGGCTGCTGAGAACATGTCCCAACATTGAGAGGTAGGGACCACTGTTTTAAGAATTTCGTAGGTACTAACTAATTTAAGACTTAACCATGGCCGTATGGTTAGGTTATTATTATGATTTCCTTTTTGCAGAAAAGGGAACAGGCCTGGGGAGTGTGCTGTCACCTAGATACTAAAGCTTTTTTAGGGAGTCAATCTATGACCTTGTGCATTCTAGTCAAGAGCACTAGTGTTGAACCAGGTGCCCAGCCCCTCACTGGGGGATTCTAGGCAGGGGCTCTACCACTGAGCCACACCCCCAGCCCCTCACTGGGGGATTCTAGGCAGGGGCTCTACCACTGAGCCACACCCC